TTTATGAAAAAAAAAATCGATTTTTTCAACCCATCACATAGGAAGACCCCCTTAAAGAAAAGAGATAGGAATATTTAACAATAAAGGATAGCAGGTACTACGTAATAAACACGAAAAAGCTCATCGACGGAAAGAATGGTTTGAGCAAGGAATCCTGGAATTATAACTATTGCAGGAATTTAGACTTCGTCATCTTCATTATAAGGTTCGTAGTGCCTTGATTTTTTACTTGTAGACCCCAATGATGACTCATACTCGACCGTGAAGATACCGCTGACGGTTGGGTTTCACGGAGCCGTGGTTTTTATAAACCTTTTTGTAGCAAACCAACGATCCGGTAATGTTTTGTTTATTATTTATTTACCTTTAGCCTTTAACTTTCATTTCATACTCAAAAATTTTATAATAACTCACCAAACAATGAATCTTTGGCACTGTAATATCACCTTCTTTCACATATACTAATTTTGATATTAAAAAATATTTATATCTGTATAAAAATATAATTTTTATTAAAGTAATATAATTTTATTAGATTAATGTATAACTAACAAAAGAGATTAAAAGATTTCAATCGTGACCTCTTGAATACATAATAATCAATAATCATACTTAAAAAAAAAATCATTTCTATCACATATTACATACACATTGATAGATGTAGTCATACAATCTTCAAATTCATTCATGATTCATCGCATTTATTTATTCATAAACTTATTGTGCAAACAAAGCCCGAATGCTTTAAAGGTGATATCATTGAAGATTCGCTCTCAGGCTCCCTACATCCTCACATGCGCTCGGGCATAGAGATATGACATCGGGTTTGTTCATAGGTCGATTGTTTGCATGTCGTGGTTTGAAAATACGCCGTATTTTAATTAAATTATTGTTACAACAGCAGTAATCAACAGAAGCCCTTGGGATTATACATCAGACCATAAGCATATTGAAAAAAACAATATTAAAATTAACACTAAAGTTTCTATTTAATGATAGTTCTCTTTGATTTTAAGGAAAGTATCACATTCGAATGTGGATTATTCTAAGAGCAGTGGAAGGAATGAATGGACTGTGTGAAAGGTGATATGGTAAGAACGGAAATAAATAATGATAAAACTGCGAACAGGAATGAATGAATGGAAAAATAAGGTTCTTCCCATTTATGTATGGTCGGATGATAAATGGTAGTTTTCTGGGATATCAATTATTTCATCTCTTAAGTATTGCAGTATAGATCTACTGTAAATTATTAAAAGTTTCATAGACACTAGTTATTTAAATGACTAAGTGAGTGCATTCTAAACCATAACTATCTTTCGAAATCCTGTATCTATCCTTTGTTCGAAAAGAAAAGAAAAACTCTAATACGCTCTAACTATAGCAAATTGGCAGGCGTAATCGTATTAGAATAGAATAGGAAATTGTTTTTACAAATAAACTTAAATTTAAGCACTTTTGAATAGTCATATATTTTTTTTGGGGTCATTCGGAAAGCTGTAACTTATCCCATATTTTGTTTAGTACTCCTCTTATCCGTTTAAAATTTGAGACTTTTTTCTTTTAGATTGATTATATTTTCATTCTTTTATATTAAAGTGATCTTGCTGGTATCCACACATCTAATTGACCACCTAGCTGCTAGAAGCATATTTTATTGACAGTTTTAGAAACTCACTGTAATAGTGCCAATGTTTGAGGTATGTCAGGTTAGTGCATAAAAGCAAATGTTATTACATCATCAAGTCGTATAACTGATGATGATGACGATGGTGACAAGTGATAAGCATTGTGTAAATTGTACATTGCGTGAGCGGATGGGCTTGAAACTTCGCATTAAAGTCATGTACATGTTCAATAGTTTTTAATATGTAATTGAGTGGATGACATTAAAAAACAAAATATATCGCTTGGAAGACAGAGACAAAACATAGTGTGATACTACTTCTCATGTTATTCATGACCTAGTATAGAACTCGCCTCCCATATCACGTATCTGGTCCGCTCATCGGCAGCGTCTCGACCGCGCTCCACTGAGCACGCGAGCTGACACCCCACTTGTTTACGATCCCTGACACTTCCTGTCACAACTCAGACTACATTGCAACGTCTTCATATTAATGAACTTATAAAGATATTAAAATCATCTACAAGCATATTATAATAATGAGAGTTTTTTCACTTTCTTGTACATGGAAAAAAATCTGAATATGAAGGAACAAAAATTCAAGGTGATCAAAACAGATGCATCAGACTTTTAATGATTTTATGTCTTAACTAGTTAATGATCTTTTTACCCAATGAAGAGATATTTTGATCAAAATCCGAATGTTACAGCATGTCTAGGAATTTTGAAATTATTCAAGTATTTTTTATCCATTACAAATAAATACACAAAAATATCTTATGTTACCTCTTCACGAATAGAAATCTTAATAAAGAGATAACTAACAAAGCCGCTTAACTGATTAATTTAATGGAATCAATTTTACGTCTCACACAATCAGTAATTCATTTTCCACAACCAATCCTCGTTACATCAGTCAATCATAATTACGTACGGTTGCTGATACAGAATTTGAAAGCTTTCCATCATTTACATCATGACTTGCAACAAGAAGCAATTACAGTAATTTAATACATACAAAACATCAATATTTGATAGTCAGGCCCAGCTATACTCGATTACTTGTACAATATCATGATGCCTTAAGCTTCAAGACAACGCATAAGTACTGTACTAGTACTGACGTCCATTCACGATGCTGTTCATGCTCTCTTCATACTTCTTCTTATTCGATACGCTCTTGACAGAACGGTAGTGGTCATTATGTAGTGGAGTTAGAGGCAGATGTCATCCGCCTTACGACAACTCTTCTTATTGGTTGCCATTCTGGTACAATCGTGGAATGGACCGCCTACTTACCAAGTTGGTATTATTTGTATTTGATTCAAGTAGAAATAGGAATTGTTTTCCGTCCAAATATACAGATTCTTGAGGGCAAAACTATAACTGCATGATAGTACATATGCTTCCTATAAAAATACAAGATCTCTATATTTGTATTATCGGATAATGTTGCCGATTTGTCATTTAATCAATAACGTAAAGTAATTAGTAAAGTAACGGAAAGTTTTACGTTTAGATACGTCATATTTCTTCTCTAAGAATTATTTAAATGTATGTACTTAATATGTTTTCCAATTATTCTCACAATTGACGCGTGTCCTGTATCGATTTGCTTTAAAATATCCACTGCGGTCGTCTTTCTAAGTGCATTGTGCTTACTCATACTTATTCATTGAACTGAGGGAAACAAAAGAAATATAGATATAAATAGCCTTTGTCCGATTTGTAAAGAATGCTATAGAATAATATAATGCATTTCCAGAGGTCGTAATCAGGGGCAATTTTATTCTGAGTTGCTGCGGGCGATAACAGCTTACCTGAGCTTTTGCGAGTTAGACGCATAACCCTAACAAATTAGAGAGGTTTCATATAAGTGTCTGTAGACTGACTTTGTGAGGTTATTTTGTTTTATGAAATAAATAAATTATTCCTATATATATGTAACAGCTAGTATATGGTAAATAAAAAAAGGTTATCTAAGAAATTCTTTCATCTATTTCGAAATTCGAAGATGTCACGTGACTTGTATAGTTTTTATAAAATCTAGCAGTACGCAAATAAACTTTATTTAAATAACAATATAATTTAGATTGACATGAAGCTAAATTTAGCGTAAAACTAAATTCCAATAGTAAATCTATGTGTTTTTTATTTTGTTATACTAATAATAATTTCTATCCTATATCTATAAATAATATTTAATTCTAACGAAATGTTGTTTTGAAGACAACGCTGTGTATATCCTTTGGCACTTGTTAATGTGTCCAATCTCCATATACCAATGTAATTACATATGTAATTTTAATACTACCACTTATAACATACTTATTTATATGTATGTATTTAAAAAAAATACACGTATATAATAATAACTTGATTATGTTGCAATGGTATAAGTATAAAGATTTCTAACGAAATTTCTAATTTATATCATTTATTTATATTGCATTCCTACTAGGTGTAAAAATGATGTTGTATGTAATAAATACACACAAAAACACTATAATAATAAATTATAAAAACTAATTTGTATCCATATTTTTACAAATAAAATATTGAGCTGTATTCAATATTTAAATATATTTACTATATTTTGTTTACCGTAATTACGTAAGAATTAAAATTATATAATCTGAATACAATATTCATTGATAGTATAAAAGCTGTGTAAGGTATGATTATAAATAAAATAAAATGTAAACAAAAAACCGATACTAATTGGTATCAATTCAATCATGGTAAAAAACTGCCATTTTTTTTGTCCAACTGTTGTCCTTGTCTCTGGCGAGATTGAAACAAACAAATTCATTCAATATAAATGGATGTTTTCTTATACATATAACAAATTGTCATTTATAGAATTACTTTCAAATTCAATTTAATTAACCTTGAAACGGCAATGGAAGTGTATTTTAATTTAATCTTTATTCCTTTACGGGCTGCACCTTCATTCGTCAACGTAATTTTTATGGTTTACGTGTATGCCCGCAGTACATTCTAAATTATAAGGATTTTTTTCCAACAAAATAGAACGAGTAATTTTAAACGTCAGTAATTATAATAATCCATTGCAACTTTAAATAACAAATTTAGAAATTATTGCATACAGACTTACAAAATATTTTCTGTTTTAAAACTAGTTTTAGTTTTAAATATATTTATTTTTTATAATTTTTGTACAGTTTTAAGAGCAAGAAAGCAAAGAAGCAAGAAACTATACTAAGAAATGCACTAAGGGGCTCAAGACCGGAAAAGGGAAAAAACCCTGTACGCAGTGCACCCAGGTACCTATTTAATTTAGTAAGGTAACAGGTGTCGCTCGACCGGTGGGCGGGCGCACGTGACCGGGCGACATTCGCGCGCGCACCGCGGACGCAACCGCTTCGAATTTTGAACGCGGAACGTTAACCGTTCCATTTTCAAATATTTTAATTATATTTTTTAGTCCTTTTAATTTTCGTACAAAGTGCCAGTGACACGAACTTATTTAAGGATTTTGTGCCTGTGTATTATTTGTTGTCTATATTTTAGACAGGTCAGTATGAATATTACCGTTTATTTTAAATTATTTTGCCGCCACCCTTTTTTTTTATAATTGAATTCGAATTTGTATTTGAAGAAGATGTGTTCGTTAATTATGATCGATTTGTTAAATTTACACTAATGTATGAATTTAACCAAATCACGGAAATTAAATAATTTGGTGAATTCTACATATTCTATGAATGAATAAAACATGTTTTTATATTTTATTTAACTTAAATTTATTACGTCCATAAGTACTATTTTGTAAATACTATTTCTTTTATGGAATATCCTCGAATATCTCTAATTTTATGGATGTATGAAATCCACATCATTATTTATTAATAAAAAATTATTACAAATATTACAAATTAATAAAAAAAAGTATTTATAGCTAGATAATTATATAATATTTTTGCTGTGACTTTGCTATAATAAATAAGTTACACAACGTATAAAAGGAATGCATTCACTAAATTCAGCCTAATCCTTTAGGCAATAATATCAACTCGCAATAAAAGCTCTTAACTGTTTATTACTCGTTTTTTTTTTATTTGACAGAGTAAATGGGAAAATTGAATGGAAGGCATTCAAACCGTAATCCGTTAGTGATTCGATTACATGCCTACTCGATACTTAATAATAACTGTAGTCCAAATCGTTAGTTTCGCTCTAACATTTTTTTGTAATCGATGATATAATATTCTTTACATTGATTTCAATAATTCCGGTCATCATTGTTCGCTCATTCGTTCTTATTTAATATGATTTAACTCGCACACTCTATAGTAAAGAAATACGGAGACTAAAAAATATACAAAGAACAAATAAAGAAAAATATAACGGCTCTAATTAACCGAGAATACTCATTTCTAAGTGCTGCGAGAATTTTCTGTTATTACTTTTTTGACGCTAAATCCTCTTGCAATCATTTACCGTGATACACTATGTACAAAGTCATCATCATGAATAGGTACAGAAATCTCTCTCATATATTTAATCTGTAATATAACTTGGTTTGTAAGTTATGTTAGGTTGAGATATATGAGTGCAATTAGTGGAGGCATAGCACCTTAATCATCGGGAAACGCATGAGGTGCATAAAGTTATATCATCATTCATAATTTCTTTGAAATATATATATTAATTAAAACGTCCGTTTCAGAATGTTCCTCTTTTATTATTCATATATAGAATGCCAAACAAATAAATGCGTTTTCTTTGAAAAAAAGGAATTAATTGTAAAAAGAGGTTTACTTCCGCATCATTCCTTCCACATTAATTTGAAAACCTGGTAACAAAACAATAACAATATAATATGTTTAATGTTTATATACAATGTACACAATAGTAATTAATAATATATATTACTTTGCCAGTCCAGTTACATATAAAACATCGAGAATATCTAATGTTCATTTTGAAAAGTTGCGATAATTTTGAAAATTATTATTCTTTTGACGCTAAAACATTGCAAACTTGCAATATACTAATTAGTTAATATCGGTTTTATGTATCTAGCAATAATATCGCAACTGCAGCAAACTGCGCCTGCGCACGTATAATTGTCGATTTCAGCAATATTTTAAAATTTCCACACATTATCGTTGTATATCAACATGCAGTTGTGTATTAGGTAAGTTTACTTTCTTAACTTATTCATTACCAAATCTTATCGTAATTTTAATATTTAATTTACACATATATCGTCACACCTATCTGTCATTGGGGTAGACAGTGATAACAATTAGTTTTCATACGTATGATTCATACTTATTTTTCTACGTTCATTAAACTGTTTATACATGTTAGTCACATGGAATTTACTCAATAAAACTTAAATGTAAATATTCTTACAAGTTTTTTTGACCGCTGAATCGGAATGCAGATTTAGGTTATGAATCGTACTAATTACTTCAAATATTTTGTTATTAACAATACAGACATGTTTTAATGGACGTTTTTAATGTACATTAAAATATGTGTATATATATTATTGTGTATAAATATAATACGTATAATATTTATACACAATAATATATATGCACTTAAATAGTTACATTTACTTACACTAACGTTTTTTTTATTATTGTTAGAATATAGTCGTGATAAAATAACCGTGTAAATATCCACAGTTCTCGTGCGTAACTCACCCCTTGATTCCGTATTTCCTGTGTTTATTGACAAAATAAATAGATGACAACGGTGACTGTTGTATCCAAGATTAATTAAAAAATAGTCTGTACCGCACCACTTACAACACATTAATATCGTAGGCACGGCTCTCTCTCATAAGAGGAATTAGCCTGACATTATTTTACTTTTTTGTCATAGAGATAGGTATAGTGTTTTAATTAGTATAAATAAAATTTCTTACATAATAAATTAGATTTACTCAGTCTTGTTTAATTCAACAGAATAGTTAATTATTAAAAAATAATAAATTAATAAATATTGAAGACAGTAAGCTAATATTTTCAGACGTATATGAAATATTTAATTTTATGACATAATAATACTCTTAATCCAGAATTTAACCTTTTGTGGATTAAAATCTATTACAACAGCCAGTATCAGATATTTGGATATCTTTTCAAACAGTTGATTACTTTCATATAATTGATAAATTGATATAATATTCCGTATTTAGATATTTTTCTGATTTTTAACCTTAAATGCATATATCAATAGATAGCTGATTTTTTAAATTAATTATTCAAAAAAAAATTGATGTTTTATAATTTGTCAAATTCGAACAATCAAACATGGCGCCCATTCTGGCTAATTATAAGTTTTATAATTCTTGAATATTATTTTAAATATTATACTTTATGAGTGAATCCTACTATATAAAATTTAAGTAATTTTCGAATACCATAGAATTCCGATCATATTTAATGATATGGTAGTATGGTAGGTAGGTAGTTTTATCCCCATATATGAAGTCTATATGAATGCAACACCGGAGACAGCTGCAGTCAGTAATAAAACTGAATGGGTTCTTTCACAAACTACAGGCCATATTAATTTATCTAGACTATTACTATATTTATGGTTCGGTAAATTAAAAAAATTATAATATAAAATTGACGAGAAAAAGTCGATAAAAATGTATGATCATATGAATAATTTTGACTTTGCCTGTTTATAGTTTTTATGTAAGTATATGTCTAATATAGATACATGAAGTAAGTTAATAATGGATATAAAAATATTTTAATTCTTTATATCAATATTACAAATTGCATACAATTTATAAAAATATATTTATAACGAACTATATACCTATATGGACGTATTTTTTCTACGTCATAATAATTCGTGAAGTATTAATTAAAATTAATATAAAGATCAATTTTGCATACCGCCTTCGAACCATTTACTTAATCTATACGTATACTTAAAAGGAATTTCACACACTCATTCACTCATTGAGTGATGACAAAAAAGTACTTGACCTAGGAACAAAGCAGCAGGTAGATCCTTATGGAGCGTTAGCGTCCATTGAGAAAGGATTTACTGAAATTCCCACGGGAACGGACTGATAAAGAACTTGAATGGATGACGGGATTAACCTGCAGAAAACAGATTAGTATTTTTTTAAATATTCAGCTATTTTAAAAATCAATGGCCAGTCAAATAATATATTTATTTAATTAAAAATATATATAATATGTAATGTCTTCAGGGCTTTTATCAAAGATAGGATAATATATAGCTATAGCTATATAATATATAATAATATATAATATCTTCATGACTTTTATCAAGGATAGGATAATATATTGGTATTACCTTTTTGTATAACAAATGTCACTGAAAATGACAGAGCATTTCGTAACTGTAAAGTTATTTTTATTGGATTTTTTAGATTTTTACATTCTAAAGCTGTAATCGATAAATCCTAACTAATATAGATACGAAAGTGTATCTGTCTGTCTGTCTTTTTATTACCTTTTCTTGACTAAACAACCGAACGAATGCGAATGAAATATGACGTCAACATAGATTGTATCCAAAGAACGGATGTAGAATAAATTCTATCACAAAAAGGCAGACGAAGACGCAGGCAACAAGTAGTAATATATAAAATTAACTTCGTTATGAAAATATGATGTAACTAAATGTTTTTGCACCAACCTACCAAGACTCAATTTATTTTGAATCTGAAAAACTGAACGTCTTGAGAGAGATGCATCGAATAATGTCAAAGCTTCGGTTATTTGCCATCATCATCTCCAAAGTCGTTATGCCTTTCGTCATGGGTCCATAAAAGCGACAAGAACAGGTAGACGGAAACAAAGGGTGTATGAGCGAGACGGTTTATCCCGTGGTAGGAGTGGTGCAGTATGCGTTTTTGCTGTAACGTTTCTGCATTCTGAATTGGTGCAAGTCATAAGCGGATCATCTTTTTGAGATATTGGCTCTTTCTCGAATACGTCTATTTTTTTTGGATAAAAGTTAGCATATATCTCAAGTACTCAAGAATCTGACTGTCTATCTTTACATCAAATTTCGTTAATATCCATCCAATTGGTCGTAAAAATTCACAAGTGTAGTAAATTTAGAAGTTTACTATATTCAGTATGGAATACATTAACTAACTCATGACTTAGTCTATATTTTTTTAATAAAATATAACCTATTTCTTCTCATGATACAATCTAATTTCATATCGAATATTTTTACTTTCCTATGAAAATACCAGTCCATGGGTATCGAATGGTAGCATTCTGTAGAGCTGTCGTACATATAATACTAAGTCCCGGTCTGCTTGTGTGATAAATGATCTAGTTATGTTATTGTATGATGAAATCCAAATAAAAAAACAATATGAAAAAATTAATGAAAACAAGCTTCCTAAAAGCCCCGAAATTAAAAGTTACAGTACTTCCAGGCATTTAGTTCTAACAATATCTATCTGTATATGCACAACACAACTTCTGTATTTATAGAAATAGTATAAAGCAAAATGTTGTGGCATATCTGTTACATCTTTTAAGCCACTTA